GCTCATTTTTCGATAAAAATAATTACCCTTTATATAATATTTCTGTACTACACATTTCATAAATGCTATTTCCATTATTTAAATATTCGCGACGTATTCACTTATTACCTCGAAATAATATACAGCACTCATAGTAGAAATTACATAAATACACATGTATAGAATATGTATTCGCTTCTGGCTAACGAGCCTATTTTTCGTGAACTGTCGGTAACGCTGAGCGCGACACAAAATGGTAAGAGGGCTGTAGAATAAAAAGGTGAAACAGAAACGCCCATAAGATACGATGTTTGTACAGATTCTATGTCTATGGATCTCTATTAGAATCTGTATTATCATCTGTGGATAATTTTGACGAACAGTTTAAGCGTTTTTCCACTATATATATTGGCGCTAAAGTTATATTTTAACGATCAATTGATTTGGCAGCATATGTACTTTTTGTTTGCGATAATAAACAAACTTCGTTTACCTAATATAGATGCAGAAGAATATCTTGAACATTTTTGGACTCCCAGATTATTTTTTAATTCCTAATACATATATACGATTACATATATAGTCGGTTCCCAGATACAGTAAATTCTCCCTAATTAACCGTCAGCTTGATAACAAAAATGGACAATTTCGGAAGAGGTGGTACGATTATTCGAGCTTTGCTCGAACGAACCGCAAGGCTCAAATAGTCGTATCTCCTCTTCCAAAATTGCCCATTTTTGTTACCAAGCTGAGGGTCAATTAGGGAGAATTGTATTCGGAATTCTACTATAAATACTTGTTCTGTGGAAATAAAGGAACATTGCAACTTGTTTTACGAAGCGCCAGAAATTTTATTAAAGCTTTCCAAAACTTTCCAAGTTGTATTTTGTAAATTATGAATGATGAATTACATACATATTTTCAACGGTTCTTAGATTCTATTGAAAGCCCTTGAATGTTTCTGGTAATACGAAATAAATGTTTGTACGGTGAAAACAGTTGTACAAGTGGAAAAGGATTAAGAAACACGCGATCATAAGATATTACAAAACACACAAGACAACATTGTAAATAAGTAAACTTTAGACCTGGAAATAAGTGATTTAATAAGAACTCAAGAAGATAACTTTTGAAGTGTAGGCAAGTCGCTTTGAAACGTTGAAACAACACCATCAAATTAATTGTTGATAAAAGAACAGTGTATTTTACATATTTGAGAAATTTTAACGAAGTTCAGATACAATCCAAATCTTCGCATTATGTAAATCACGTTTGATCCCGTGTTTTGTGTTTCATAAAAAAGAACTTGCGCAGATGCAGACATTGTGTGTTACATGTTATATTTTTGTTTTCGTTCTGGGAACAATGAGACAGCGACTTAAATTCGTTTCGAAAGTTACCCTATTAAGCACAAATCAAGTAATTGCTTACTTTAAAGATGCTCTTCTGTTTTCTTTCTTTCCCTTGGTTTCTTTTTAATACACTTTTTACAATAGCAAATTAAAAATTGCCACGCTTAAGCCTTGAATACGAAATACGCGATGTCCAACGGATACGTCGGATTCTAAAAAATTATATTTACCCCTCACCACGCCATACATGATGCATATATATTATGTGTCAAAACGTGTTGAAAGTATTGATATTAATTAGTGCAAACATCATGAATAAATAGAAAAATGTTAGTATTTTATTACAATATGTTTCGCTATTAACCCTGCAGTTTTTCATGCCAGCGCATATAATTGATTTCTGAATGCAGTACAGTTGTGTATCCAGAAGCAAACAAACCATCAGCATTAAGGATGTAAGAAGAAATCATTTTCCGGATTGATTTTTGATAACTTGCATGTTACATTCCAAGTTATAAATATAATGTGCGATTAAGAAAATAATTCTGTGGTAAGGGGTCAATACAACGAAGCGCGCATAACGGAACATGCTAGTATGTCAAAACGTAATCAATAAACAGCTTGCAAATTATGCATACAGAACGCCCCTCCTTCCCCCCACCCCTTAACTATACATTTCCTTGCATTTAGATGGTTTAACGCGTTTTACGTGTACTTGTGTATATTTAAATATATCTTTAATTAATATAACAGCGATATGTTAATATCGAGCAAATGTTGAAAACAATAAGTTTATAAAAAATATTTTGTGAATTTTTAACATTATCATCGCTGTATTCTCTTGGACTGATCAAATTACGACAAATTGCGCTGACGAGTCGATAAAATTCATCCTGATCTCTAGATTTTGTTGATAAAACATTCGATTGCTCGGTCAACGAGCAGTTTCGCATAAATCAGTAATAAGTACAAAATAAGATCAGGATCGAGAAACGAGTTTCATCGATTTCGTGGGTTCGATGATCAGCCTATTCAAAAGAATACAGCTTCGCATGGAGAAAGTGATCCTAACGCGTTCGCAGCCATTGACGCAATAGTATCCAATTCGCCAGAGATTAAAGTTGATTGTGCACTCGCCTAGTAACAATAAATAAAATACAGAAATCATAAATACATCTACAATGATACCGTAGCAATTCAAAAAACATCGCTGGTACAACAAGAGTATATATAACGAATATATCATATCATTTTAAACCGAATTGAAAAATCCAAAAAGTGTCTGAAATCGTGATTGAACATATCAAGCAGCATTAAATGCCGAGGAGGCTGAATGCGGCTGCGAATGCGTTAATTACAGTGATCGAAATATTCTGATCTACAGTTTGGGTCACTTTTCGGATTGCGTAACGCTAAAAAATCGAATGAAACAAGTGCTCATTTCGTCTGTTCTTCTTTTCTTTCTTTTTTTTTTCGTTTTCATATTCGTCAACAGCGCGTTGACGTGTTCTCTATCGTCTAATTGTTTTCTCCTTATCGGGCTAGATGATCGATCGAATGATTCTAGAAAAATAAACGATTCTATCGTGCGAATCGCGGAAACTACGCATTGACGACGACGACCGGGGAGGAATGAAACTCGATGATCCGCTCGGAAACGTTTGCCTCTCACTCGTCAGTGAATCGTATCGTCGCGTTAGCGGAAACTCTATAGCATGGTGGTATAGTAGATCCTTGACAGGCCGATCGAAAAATCTCGATATCGGATACGATGTGAAATGAGTCGACTCCGTTCGACGAAGAACTATTCCCTCTGAAAATCGATAATCCTCTTATCGACAAGGAAATTACGAACTCCTATTGGCATTCGACGAAAGATCACGTTGCAAGCCATCAGCGACGAACCGACGTATACGTGTCAGGTTCGCACGCGAATAAAATACGATCGACGAGAATGTTTCAGCATCGGGAAGCAAGCTTATGCGCTTGCGACCTTGAACAACTGCCGAGACCCACGATATATCCGCATTCCTGTCGATTCTTTTCATTCCGTTTCTAGAAACGAGCGTTTTAGCTACTGATCGATTTTACGACCACGCTATACCTTTTCCACCAAAGAGTACTTCGGTGCACGAAAGAAGAGTAACAACGTGTCTACGTAAATTTACGACGTAGTCGCATAATAATCACCATTGCCAACAAGTTATAAAATTTTCTGAAATCCCTTTTGTAACAACGTATGCCTATAGGCTGTGTATGCGTATAGGGTGTACGACAACGAATGTGTCCTGTGCACGAGCAGGGACGTTTCACGTAAAAATAGACCGTGCCACAGTTTTCTTTCTCGCAGCAATTTTATAGATTGCCTGCTTGGGCCCACTGAACGACACAGCAGAGAGATGTTCTTGCAACTGATGCCGACGCTCGTCGATATTTCGATTAAACAATCATTTGAAAAGGTCGTGTGATCTTAGTTATTACAATTCAATTGGTTCACCAATCATGCATTATCGAGCCGTTTTAAACTGGAGTCTGATAAAACGGCGATTAATTTCTGTGATTCCATCAATTCCTGGTAATTCCAGTGTTTTATAAGAGTATCGACCGCGCAGCCTAACGGCTAGCTAAATTAAGTTTCGTTTGTTGTGCGCGATTGGTGACAGAGAAATTGGCCGGCAACTATCAGTTATTCGATTCTGTCGCAGACTTCCGAACTGTCGTCCCACGCTCTGCGTGCACGGAACCCATTTATCAGCGTACACGCTTCGTGTACATGTATATATAGGTATGTATATATTGTAGTATATACTTTCCACAGGGTTAACAACTTGCGCTAAACAGCGTGGTTTCGCTACAAATCCAACAATTGCAATGGACGGTTTGCAAACAAACTCAATGGAACGATTCAAGGAACAACGACTCGCGTTCTCCTTCTTTCTTCTCGTATCCCTCATCGACTAGCCGAAGACCGTGTCAGAGGACTTCAGCACTGACGTACTTGGAAACCCAACATTTCCTCGAGTTGTTCTCCAAAATGGCGCGGAATGTTACATATACGTACATATCATACGCGCGACAAGAACGATGACAATTCTACCTCTATGCGAAACTAGAAGTCGGAAATGTAAAATACAATTTTCTCAAATCATTACAATATTGCACGCAATTCGGGCCTATGCAAAACTTTCTATCGTTTATCTTTAAAAATGTTGAATTACACGGGGGCTCGTTTAATCCCTGTCGCCAAAAATAAATGGCATTGGCTTTTTTTGTGTTCGATTGATGAGACGACGTCATTGTTCGATAAGTGGCGGGAAATTTTGCACACACCGAATAAGTTTATACGTTGAGCGAGTACACGTACACACGGACAGAAGTAGTCAACATTTATACAGTCAACTATTTATATTGTACACAGTCGTGTTAACAATTATGCTTCATTTTCTCGGGAACGAAGCTTTCTATGAACAAATTTTATGTCACATGTTTTAATCGTCCCCTTCGCGAAATCATCCTTCATCGAACTGTATTATAAGCAGACTGCGAAGAAAGAACAGCAACTTAACGCTTTATCTACTGAAAGCCTGTTAGTAGAATTTTAATAGAATCCTAAACGATCTTTTCCTATATACACGATAGTCCTAAACGAAATTATTAGATAATATTACTGCATTAACTGTCAGTTAGCTGGGGATATTGCCGCTAAACAATTTATTCAGAAGTTTCTAACCGTAAATTGCAAACTTTTGGAAATCACAAAATCATCGTCACTAGATAATGTGTTAAGATTTCTATCGTACCGTTATCAACTTGAAGAACAATTCCTCCAGCTTTCATTCTTTTTGACTTAAATCGATACAGAAAACAGTATCGAGATCGATGAAGTCATTACAAAGCAGCTGTGTTTCTTAACAAAGCAAATACCTGAATTTGCATAAACTTCGCAGTCTGGTTATAAATAACCAGAATCGATTGCGATCGCCTCGCACGAACGGTTCGCTTAAGTCTCGAACATAATCGTTCTGACTTGGTTCCAACTCGATGAACAAACGCACACGATGAATCGAAGCGGTTCTCGCGAATATGCGAACGCGACGGTACATCAGTGCTAAGAAATATTACGGTTGGTTCTACACGTTGCACTACCCTGATCCGAAACTGACAGCCATTTTCGCGACTCTTTTTTACAAATCTTGAACAGCTTTCTGCTACGAAAAATTTGTAAACTCCAAGACATCTATAATTGCCGAAACCACTTCGTAATTTCGCAATAATAGGGAAGATCTGAACAGCTTGTAAGACGGGGTAAATTGTAACAGTACTGGGTCCTGTTCTTGCATGGTTTCGAGCCGCAATTTGACTAGCCAGCGAAAATTGGAATATAAATTGCTTCGCGTTAGTGTGACCACGATACACTGTTGAGACATGATTCATTTGCGGATGGAATGCACAGTAAATGATGGGGACACAACCTCGCTTGCTTAGGGAAGTAGATGAACGGGCAGCAATAGGACCCAGTAATTAAAATTTTCTGATCGACAAATCTGGCAATGCAACATTATGTATAAACGACTTCGCAACATCACTAATGGCAATGTTAGCGAAACAATTCAGCATCGTACGTCTGTCTTAAGTCAATAACTTAAAATTTTATTGCTTCGCGTGAAAAAGTAAATTTTGTTCTAGCATTTCTTCTACCAGTAAACGCTATTATTAAAACCCTTTGAATTTTTGCCTTTATTGTTGCAAACGAATACTTAGACATTACATTATCATAATTTGTACGCGTTTGCAAGGATGAAATGTAAAAATACAAACTCGGGATAAATTGTAACAAACTGTTTCCTCGGCAGATGAGTTTATCTGCTTGGTTTGCACTATATCATACACCAGCGAATATTGGATTGTGTACGATCAATGCGAAATATGGTCGCACCAGCGTCGCACTAAAGAAAGTATTCCATACATCTGACCTAATTGCAATTCTGACAATGGATAATCACTTACCGCTTAATTAATCTCGTCTAACATTAAATAACGATGTTCTCTCATTTTACATTGAATATATTTTATAGAAATGTTTGCAACGTTTAACGCGCCTGTATGAGCAGACATGTAAATATTAATTTACTCGAACAACTTTGTAATCGAACGGAACGTTCTCGAGAGAAAACTGTGAGAAATTTTTTCGTTACAACCTGTCCCGGTCGTCCCTACCGCTTCGATCGGTGCGAGGGAAAGATAAGCTTCACGTGAAAAGAAAGTCAGCACTGTTCGTCGGTATCAAGGTAGCGCAAACTCTGATGGGAATTCACCGATGAAGGAATTTGTTCGAGGAATACGAGATGCGACGATTTTCTGAGCCACTAATAGCGAATCTCTACGTTCCTTGGACGATTAATATTAATTGGAAAAAGAGACGCAATCTAAAGTCTTCCTACGAGTAAATCTGTTTTTACACGGTTAAACGGTGAACCCGTTTGGACGAGCTTCGATATTTATTACATTAAAACGTTACTCTATTCCGGGCTCCCGGTTTCACCTGTTCGTTTCGTTCAGCCCCCCCCCCCCCCACCATGGTAAACAACAACGTTCGTCGTACGCTCTGTTCGTTTTTGTTTTTAAAAAAATGCTAATTAACGAGTGATCACGCGGTTACGAGAAATACACGATTACGGACATATTGTATACAATCGCACGCAAGATTGTCGGTGATTGCTGGATCACGCACGCTCGAAATTATATTTATATTGCGTTAGGTAACAATCGTGCCGCGACGGCGCGAGCACCGTTTCTTTGAAACAATTGCATGGCTGAGGCACCGAAGAGATTTCCTCCGACCGGCCGCCTCTAAGCAAAAGAGAAGACATCGGCCGCGACATTTGCATCAGCGTCAATTGTACGATTAAATACATGATAAGCGGCCACGTGAGCGTTCGCTTTCAAGCTCAACAAATCGGACTCTGACTAGACTTTCTGAAAATTGTTCTCAGTCTGCTCTCTAAAATAGAAATAACCGTAGACTCCCACAGAAAGGAACCGACGCCGCGAATTCCGCCGAAGACCGCGACGTTCCGGTAATGACAACGGAGAGTACCATCTTCGCGTCGCTAAGAAATCACGCGGGCTCGAACGAGACTTGACCGTGCTATAGTCCATCGGCCAGGCATGGTGCAAACGGCTCGCTGCACGTATAAAGCTTTCGATCTATCACAACAGGCGCCGAGACTCCGTATCGTTTCCGCCTTAAATTAAGCACAGCTCTTTCGCTACCCTCGGAGACTTTCCTCCTAATCGCCGGCAGCTTCCTCGCGACGGAATGCCGAGTGTTTGCCGTTCGACGATCGTTCAGAAAATCAGAACCGGGTATCGTTTTTCTGTTTTTCCTTAAATTAAACACAGCTCGTTTTGTTATCGTGTGCCTCGTCGTGGACGAAACTCCCATTCTTCTGCAACAAAGTGGCAAGCAGCGGCTAACTCGGTGCGAGACGTTATCCATTGTTAGTCAGCAGTGTCGGCACTAGCTACATGATCGGTGCCGAGCGTTACGGCGAAATGGCAAGAAGATCGCTCGTTAAGGGACATTCGCTGCTGGTCTCCTACCAAGCGATTCTGCGCGGATCCTGTGGATCCTGGCTTGTAGGCTCCGCACTCCGTTCTCGAAGGACGAACTTCGCGGTTATTCGGGCAAGGTCGAAAACGAAGCGAAGTTCCGCAAATGCTACGTAGTCGAGGATGGGGTTTCCGGCGAAATCGGAAGCTGGGCATTTCGGGTCGAAGCTCGCCTCGGCCATCGCTGCGGAGAAACCGGCGGCGTCGGTCTCGGCGTATTTGGCGCCGATCCGGAAGTCAGCCGCCAGTTGAAGCTGTTCGATATCCCTGATCTGCCGACGTTCTGCAAGCTCGTACTACTACTGCTGCTGGCCACTGCTCCGGACAAGTCGATCCTCGACACCGCCCTAGAAATACGTTTCGATATTAATCCACGCGAAAAAAGATCAGTTAGGATTGCCGGTTTCAGACGGTTTGCCAACATTTTTTAACTCGAAAAGGTATACGTACATACCGCCACAAAACTATTCGCACCGTTTTACGGTAATGGTAACAGTTTATAAGAAAAACGAATGCGACAAAACTATAAGAGAAGTTGGGTTTTCCGTAAAAAAAAACAACGCGTAGCGTTGTAACGATTCTTTTCGTTACTTTTTAATAATGCGTATTTTCACCCTTCCTTTTTTTTACTACTTCCAACATTTGTTTTGTGGTAGAGATTTATACAGTTTTTTAATTGCATTTTATTTCAAATTCGTCCATGTATCCTCGATACATCGTTTTAATTTTTCTATGGTGTTAAACTGCTTTCCTCTTGAGTATACTTTCTTGGCTATTATTTCTCAATAGTTTTCGATAACATTGAAATCCGGCTATCTTCCTGGTAAAACATCTATATTTTTATCTTCGAAATAAGCTCGTGTTATTCTCGCAGTATGCACAGCTGCGTTATCATGTTGAAAGGTATACTTTTGCTTAACTATTTTTTGTACATATTTCGATAGTTGCCTATTAACGATATCCACGTACGTTCTACTATTCATTCTTGTAGAAACAAATTCAATATCCGTCTTTCCATAATATCTTATGGAAACTTTCTATAATATCCCACATCATAATACTATCGCCACGCATTTACCGCCTTTGCAATGCGATTTCCTCTTTCCTCAGATCATGAGAATAATAATTTAGGCCATCGGGTCCACCTGAATTAAAACGTTTTTCGTCAGAAAAGATTTTTTTCCACCTTTTTCACCATTGTATACGATACTCTGCAAATTCCAATCTGGCTTGTTTATGTTTGTCAGTTAATGGCGGTCGCTTCTTCATTTTAAGCCTTTTCAAATGCTTAGACCCTTTATTATTCTCTGCAATGTCCTAACACTCGTTCGTAGAATTCGAAACATGTCATCAAATTTGTCGCCTTTCTCGCACAGTTCTTGGCTTGGGACGATCACCGGGGTTATTTTTAACATATTTTTCTTTATTTTTCAAATTGCTATGTACTACGCAACAACTTCTCCCTAATATATAGGCATTTTTTCGCACTGAATAGTTTTCCTTCTTTAAATTGTTAATTATATTGATCTCCGTTGCATTTAGATTTTCTCTGTGCGGNCCTCAGATCATGAGAATAATAATTTAGGCCATCGGGTCCACCTGAATTAAAACGTTTTTCGTCAGAAAAGATTTTTTTCCACCTTTTTCACCATTGTATACGATACTCTGCAAATTCCAATCTGGCTTGTTTATGTTTGTCAGTTAATGGCGGTCGCTTCTTCATTTTAAGCCTTTTCAAATGCTTAGACCCTTTATTATTCTCTGCAATGTCCTAACACTCGTTCGTAGAATTCGAAACATGTCATCAAATTTGTCGCCTTTCTCGCACAGTTCTTGGCTTGGGACGATCACCGGGGTTATTTTTAACATATTTTTCTTTATTTTTCAAATTGCTATGTACTACGCAACAACTTCTCCCTAATATATAGGCATTTTTTCGCACTGAATAGTTTTCCTTCTTTAAATTGTTAATTATATTGATCTCCGTTGCATTTAGATTTTCTCTGTGCGGCATTTTGTATAATCAAAAACTATTGCACACGCAATATCACTTTAAATGCTGCACGCTTAATAACAACAATTGGAAACAAAACTCTCTTCTCGTAATGTTTAGTTTGCCGGTTCACCGGAGTTACCGGACTTATAGTTTTGTCGCAGATCAAGTAGCACGGTTACATGTTTTGCCTGAGTTTTCGAGTTCGAAAACTCAGTTCGCTGATATACGTATTTCATACAATTGAGCGATATGCTTTTTTACAGAGTAAACAATAATACTACGAGCGAAAGGAAATTAAATTTCTAAGTTACGTAGAATATTTCGCAATTTTCGTGAGTGTCTTATAGTTTCGTCGCGGTGTGTATAAAGAAAATTAGGATAATTCCGACTGAGATGACCCACATTTTTTACTATACGTATTGTACGCGTAGTCCGTTACATCCTACCCCCCACTACTTATTATTACTATTACTGTTATTGTTACGATCACCATCTATCGTTATTCTTATTGTTAATAGTATGTGGTATACCAACGCCATTCCATTATCTTCTCGTCAAACATCCGAAAATCTTCTACAAAGTAAAATGTATGCTATAATACGAGGCAGCAAGAATAGCAATTTTATTATAGCGATGCGAGTAATGTTACCTGGAAGGAGGAGCGGAGCCAGTGTAGTAATGCAACCCGGCAGGTCCGCTTCTGGGTCTGGCTATTGTGGACACTATACTACTCGATCTCTGCATGGCTGGCGAAGGGGGTGCGGATGGTAGCATTCTCGGCGTTTGCGGGGGTGTTCTCGTTGTTGTTAAGCTGCTTGTACTCCCTGTGGATGGTTTTCTTCTCCCAATAAGTCCACTCCTGTGCACGCATCAACACGAACGCTTCAACTTTTTCGCTTTCACTTTCAGCATATTCTTTCTATAGAATTAACCCTTTATGGCTGACACCAATAAACTGGAGTCATCGATTGACCCGGTCACCGGAGAGGATGAGTGAACCTGTAAATTCTGGTTCAGTGACTAACGAACACTTCGATGATCTCTTTTTTTATCGTACTGTAGAACCCCGACAACTCGAAAACCTCTATAAGACGAAAATTGTCTTCGTTCCCTTCTGTTCAGCTACAAAGTCCTCTGCAACTCGAAATGAATTTTTCTTAATTCGAACCATTTATCACTGGTTACATTATGTATTTTAACACTTCGATTGCCGCGCCAACAACTTCAATACCTTCATGAAATTAAAGTAATATATTTAATGAAATTGAGATTGAAATTTTAGCTTGTACGACATCGAGTACATTTTTTTACAGATTATAATCAAGATTAGGAAGATATAATAGATTATCGTACAAATTAATTCTTCATTCTGAGCGAATAATTACGTCACCCACAGTCAAATTGTTAACATTAAAGCTGGAATTCAGAAGAACTCCGACCTCTATAAATAAAGGTCTACGTAACAGTCAATCGATTGAAGATAATTAACGGTTCTGCTGCTATCAATTATTTATTTCCTTATGATCTTCAACTTTATGAACTTGAGTTTGTCTGTCTTTACACGGTCACAGGTCGAGAAATTGACAATCATTCGAAGTCTCTATAAGCCGAAGTTCCGTATGTTGAACCTCTCGTACTCAGATAATCGATAAACCGAAGAAAGTCTATAAAACTTGAAGATCCCTTACTCCGTCCCTCGAAGTTCGATTTATCGAGGTTCCACTGTATTTGATTTTATCGGAGAAATTTACGTAACTTTGTTTTCGGGGTTTGGTAACCCCTTGCTCTGTGAGAACAAGTCAGACTCGCGATGGAGATCCCATGCATGATCTATTATAAAAATGCTATTCATTTCTTCTAAATGGAAACAAAATTCGATTGCTCTGTTATCAAAATGTAGGAATGAAAATAAATGAAGACATGCATACATAGGAAAAGAAATATTGTCTCGTTCTATTAAGGAAAATATTAAGCGCAGCGCCGATCACATATGGGTGTCTCTAATTTTTAACTAGCTTTTGTAAATTAATTTTTATTATAATATATCGAACGAACTAAACGTTATCAGGATTTTTAAAATATACAAGAGTTAAAAACCGATATTTCTTGTTGCAAATTTTACCATTCTAGTCTCGATTTCATTAATTAAATGATATTTATATTATGAGAATTTTCGGAGTTACATCCTCACCCCTCACCAAAAGAATTGGGACACCAGCTTATATTTCGTATAAATTGTAATTTTTTACTCAGTTCAGGATTACCCAAAAACAAGTTTGTCTGCGAGTTTTATGACCTAATATTAGCGAAAGTACGTATCGAGTTGTAAGTGTTTTCATTTATACAATTAGTTTAATCATTTGTAGCATTTTGTTCATTGAAAGCGTATGCCGAGTTTCTCGACATGTTTCCTTAATATGTATTATGAAAAGAAAATTAATCTTTCTTTTATAAAATCGACGTTATTTTCATTATAATGTTAAACATATCCGTGCCGAACTGTTTTTAGTCGACTCTTCATACTCTACTGAAACTTAATATATTATATATAATTATTAATTATCGTATATACAACAATGAAGCAAACTTATTATGACCGGTTTTGTGGTGGAAATTAATTCTTCAGTTCTAAATTTGTTATGAACCATTTTTTTAGTGCATCAAGTAAACATGCAAGCATGTACCATCGATGGTACACGTGGAACGTGTTAACGTAATTAAATGGAAAATAAATTCAAGAAAAATTGCAACAATTGCCTATCGGTTTTACAAATTTAATTAATTTTCTGTAAGTATCCTAATACTTTTGAAAGGGAATGCTGATCGACGTAGCTGTGATAGAAATTGTACACCAAAGGGTTCGTTGCAGCAAAGAAAAATAATGGTACCGATCGATGGCAACTGGAACGTTGAACGCTCCAGGCAGCCGTAAAGGGTTAACACTTCAAAGACAAAAATAAACGTGAAACCAAGAGAGACGGTCTACGTCGTCGTAGTGTAGTCGCTCACGTCTATAAGTGGGTCTGGAATTAGTCACAACTGTACAAAAAAGTAACGAACCTTTTGGATGGTTGCCGGCAGAGCCCAGTCGGACAAGGACGGCCCATGGCACATTTCCCTTCGCACACTTCTCGCGCCAGTGCCATGGTTTCGTAATTTCTTAAAGTGGTGCGGCACACTTCTGCATCGGCCTGAGCGAGCGCCAGACTTGGAAACCGTTCCTTCAACCTGCGTCGTTCCTGCATCAGTACGAAGGAATACCTGGATCTAGGTTCTCGCTCGACCAACGTAGCGGGACATAAAAGTACCCGCGAGACATTGTCCGATAGAAATCAAGACGATTCCTAACGAATCTAATTCGGAATTCGTCAAGCATTCTGTGACCCTACAGTGCACGGAGTTGCACGGGTTGCACAACTCGCGCGAGTTATTTAGTAAAATACGAATGGAGAAAAGATCGCGTCTCTCGGCTGCTGTCCATGAGGACGGGGAGCTCTTTTCGCCCCACGCGGCGGAGAATTAATTGCGTCAGAACTGAAAAACAACGACTCGAAACGGCCATCCAACAATAAACGTAGTGCAATTTACACGGCTACAGAATTTACGGTGGGATTAAATGCTGAAATTATTGGGTTGCATACAAATTGGGTAATTCGCCCTCCACGGTTGAGGGGTTATTAAGGGTACTCGTATGTTAATCGCGAGCCCGCGGATGGGCTCTTTCTACGGACGATATCCAATTAGAAATATTGATATTCGTTCGCTTGGTTCGCGAACGACGGATCATAACAAGAATAGCCCTCTCGCTTTCATTTCTGAGAGCCGAATGGAAGAGGGTAGCGACGAACAAAAACGTTTCATCGTCGAGCACTATTATTTATTTAAATACCTCGTGGAGTCGGCTCGATTCGAAGTCCTTAAGCTGTTGCTGGAACCCGACGTTTGGATTGGCAATGGAACGACCCACTTTGACAACTTTGAGTGCCTCTTTCCATGACAGATTGGTGGTGCTCATGATATAGGCCACTGCTACAGTGACGCTTCTCGACATGCCGGCTAAGCTAAAAGCCCGATACACCGTTTCGTCGATCAGTTCCCGATGAAAGTCAGACCGTTAGCCTCGGGTAGCCGAGACTCTGAATTATTAATGTTCAATTTACATAGATTAACGCATAGCTAACGCATCGACTACATCGAGGGTGCGGGTACACTTGTTTGATTTACAGCATAGCACCTGCTCCCAAGACGCCGCCAGCTATCAACGACTACTACTGTGCGTTTCATAACGCGGGGAAGCCATTCTGCATGACAAAACAGTCGACAGACTGATGCGAACTACCACCTTGTTTCAAATAATTTACAAGTACCGATCTTTTTCTACTTTTCTCAGTTTTATGGAACACGATTGTTTAACTTGTTCTGGTTCTATCCTTACTCTACTTTATTCCGTCTTGCTTAGGCAAGTAATCTAAAAACTAATCGTTTAGTTTATTGTTATCAAATACGATCTATCTAGAACTTGAACTAGTAATGCACGTGCAGAAGGGCGTTGCCGCTTCCAACGCATCTAGTTAGGTTAACAACAGCTTTGTGCTGTATCTCACTTTTACAATAACCCAGTTACTTTATTTACCATTATCTCCTCATGCCGTTGTAAAATTTGAACCTATTAATAGGATTTCGACACACTACAGCGAGCCAAGAAAGTATTCAAACATCTTTTATAAATGGACAACTTTTTTGTAATTTGACTAAACGACCTAAATTTTGTTTAAATGTTAGAGAGAGGCACTAGTTTACTAAACAATGACTAAAAAAATGTTTACAAAAATTGCAACTGGAATGACAAAAAATAAGGAAATTGTGTGTGTCCAAGGTTTTTATCTGAGCCTAAAACAAAACATTTAAACAATGCGTTTTCTTGATCTGGACAACTTGTATGCATGCTGAAAACATCGAAATCGATTGTTAGAGAGACAAGCTACAAGCATTGAAAAATGTCAAAATCTCGAGGTTTGTTACAGTTATCGGTCAAAAGTCGTGAAAAACTGCGATTTTCGTTATCTTTGCTTGTTTGTAACTCACGACAACGTGAAACGATTTACAGAGATCTACGAAATGCAGTTTATTTCTTTTGTCATTCCAATTAATTACAATTTCTAAAAACAATTTTTTAGAGAATGTCTAGTAAACTGGCCCCTTTGACATCTCAACACAATTTTAAAATTTTGTTTAATTTTGTTCAATTTTCAAAAAGTTATTTCATATTAAAAGGTGTTCGAATACCTTTGTGTCTCAAATCGCACCAAAAAGAAGCTCCAAAACGTCCTTCTAAATACTTATCCAAAAATATTTCGTTACCGTGACTTCTTGATACCTGATTTCTTTTATTCTACTTTATTAAAAACTATTAAAAAGCATCCGGTTTGAACCGAATATTTGTCACGCAAAATTCGAAAGATCGCATAAATCTTTTCTGTTGATTCCAAAAAGAAAATCAACGCGTTTGTTTTCGTGTATGGGGTAGCGAAGGCAAATGCGCTGCTAAGGAGGTCAACGATGCATGATTGCAGGGAGAAAGCATTCCACTTACTCAATGAGCTTTATGCACAATTCCGTATTGGTTTCAAATTACCAGTGCCGTTAGTCGACGCGTTAGCTATTCCCCTAATTATCGAGATATTAGACGGAATGCTATACACACCAGTGTATAAGGACGTTTCCACCCCTTAAACGGGCGGAGTGAATGAAGTCATTGCACAAGGAAAAATATTGGGACAGATTCTGATCCGGACTGTCCGCCGCCATTATACACAAATAATGCTTGTCCTACAAACAATCCATTCAATATATACATATATCGCGAATTTTCCACACACCGTTTCACTAGCTTCCGCTTGCTTACTGAATGCAATTGACGCGCAGTGTCGTGGATCGCCAGGATATGAGTGATTCCAAAACGTTCCAACTGATGAGTGTCCTTGCTGTCATGGTAATTCCCGACATAGAGGCCAGGAAGGACCTGGGGACAACAAATTAACACGGTCACTGACAAACTTTCTTAAACCCTGAAATGTAAAGCAAAATGAAAAAATATGGTAGAAGAAATATCTACTTCTCACATCATTTTTATGGATTCATATTATGTTCGTACCATACGAACTTCATTTAAACGATATTACTTGTACTTACGTTATATGTATTCATATCATAAATGGGTATGAATCATAAATAAAATCTCACTCGTACGATGTACGCATCATTTCAGATTATTAAATCAATTTTTAAACTGTTTATCATGTAATTATATTTGAAAAGTTTGAAATCTAAGTACCGTCGATTCTCGTATACGATCATTTGGGAACACGGTTTCGATCAAGCAGGATGTGAACATTTCCATTGCGACAGAACACGTATAGTAATGCGTAGCTTGTCCTTACTGAAAACTAATTCAGTAGATTGTTACTCGCTCACAAGTATGTACATTCAGACGTGTATTAATTATACTTCTTAGTTTTACAAACATGCACAATATGTTTGTTTGTTGTACGGTATCATGCTTAAAGTGCTTAAGTCAATGCTTAAAGACAATTTTTTGGATTTCTATTGTTTTGAAATTTCTCTCAATATATGACAGAGAACTCCGAGAACACGGTTTCGACACAACGCGGAACGCATTCCCTTGATTTATATTGATCCTAAGTTTCTTTTGACACGATTCCGATATAACGCGACACTCCAAAGACACGGTTTCGACATAACACAAAACGGATTTTCCTTTTAGTTCTAGGTTTCTTACGTAGAAGGGTCGACTGTACCTTACAGGAGGAGGTGTTCTGATTTTGAATTTTCTCAAATTCAGATTTTCTTTGTTTTGACATTTTCTTCGCATTAAACCAACCGAGCTGTGAAAGCGCTTAACGTTTATCGCTTTGTAAGAATGATTCACATCGCTCTTCAAAATGCGATCATACCGAACACTGAACTTCACCGTACCCATAATTAAAAAATGAAATGAAAATTCAACATATCCAATTGAATATAACTCAAAAAATGTGAGAGATAAAAAAGTATTCTGCGACATAATTTAAGTACATATTAAGTACATCAAATTCTGTAAAAATTATTTATTTTCAAAGAACGAAATAATTATAAACGATGATATTTTAAGATGATTTGGAGATGGGCTATTTTGAAGCCATGTAGCCGTGTTCAAAATGAACAAATGATAAAAAAGATCATAGTAAATAATAAGCCACATGTTTTAAAAAAGACTTTTTTCAGCTTCTTGTATGGAAACCAACCGCCGTGCGACGGTCGCGTGACCACAAGGCATCGTGTACGCGTCGTCGGTTGATATTTTCTCGATTTGTCTGAATCGAACATCGATCCGACAATTAAACTGTTTCCTTTTCATAAATGTCCATAGAATCCAATGCTATATAGCAAATTCGTGTAAGACGAAGAACTTTTTGAAAATGAAGAAAATATAGGGTAAAAATGCGTGCTACGATTCTTTTTGAACTTTGATGGATATTTACAACCACTTTAAATATAAGATAAATTAAAAACTACGGTATATTCAGAAAACTCTTTTCTATCTTTCAAGACAAATCCGAACTTTCTAATGTTCCTAGTTTTTACGTAATGCCTCTTTTTATCCAAAATAGGGCCAATTTACAAAAATTCATGTTTTTCGAAAACTGATGGTGATAGAGCAATTCTGCTTTCGCATTCATCTTTTGAATGATAAACTTTACAAGAATCAACCATTGATTATACAGATCGAAATTCTTGTTAGACAATGTAATTTTTGAAAATCTACAATTTACGATTAAAAAGTTATTATTAAATTGGTCAATGATAGCAACATCTTCAATTATGTAGCAACAAGTCACCCTAGTAACAGAAATAATTTCGTTTGCGATTATCATGTAGAAAACAATATTTTATGTTCATCTTACATAGTATAGCATAATAATTAAAGATCCTATTGATAGATTTCTGGTAGATGAATTGTTAAGAAAGAGTCTTCATAATTTTCGCAAGCAAAAAATGTGTACAAAATGATTTATTTGAATTCGTTAAAATGACAAAGTTATAATATTAAAGGGCCTGCAGTTTATTTTATATGCCTTCTCTAATTTTTATGAATAAAGTAATTAAAAAATTAATGGTAAGAATCAACTGATAGATACGAAGAAATAATACGTAACTTTCATGAAATCATGGATATTTCTACATCAGAAATAACGAAATTATAAACGTTTGAACACGTATACATGCTTCCGTGTATCTGACAAGAAAAACTATAAACATGTCATTCACGATATCTCAAGTTCTACTTGAGCAATTCATTTGTTTATAGAGTATCTTCAGTACATGTTCTCTTATTCCATGAACCAAAACTATTAAATAAAGTAAATAAATTCAACACAATCTTTCATTGATTTCCAAGAAGAAACCACAGAGAAGACAAAATGTTATGTAGGAAAAAGTTTCCGGCCAGTACAAATGTTGAGGAAAAGTTTCCAATCATTGAGTTATTAATATTTTGTTACTTGTGTTACGTATGATACTTTTAATGTGTTGAGGCATTGACCTTACTAAGTTTTCACAATCGCTAGGCGAAATTTCATTCCATGACAATTGATCACATGTCGAAGTTCCACTTTAGTTTTTGATTTTTTCTGGTGACTAAGTTTTTTTTATTTTGCCCACATGTCCTTGATTAGCATGAAGTCGGGTCTGTTGGCAGGCCACGACAATGTTGTAATATGATTTTGCTCTGAATAATCTTTTACTCATTTCCTGCCCCCCGTGACAACTAGCGTTTTCATCTTAGAAAATGAAATCTGAAGAATCTCCGTATTCCTCTATGCTTGGAATTAAGAAATCTTAAAATATTTCTGCGTTCACATTCTGGTATACAATGAATAGTTTTCCCACTCCCTTTACCGTCATACAACTCCATATCATACAAGATAGTGGATTTTTTTGTTTATAATTCATGTAATCTTCATTAAATTTTTCATTAGATCTCCGTCAAACAAATTTTCCTTTGTCATTCCCCACTCCAAACACGTCACTAAATATTATTTTGTATCAGTCCACAGACCAATTTGCGTGTTCTCTACACTACTTTAAGAGTTTCTTCTTGTCTTCCTTCGTGAGTGAAGGTTTTTTTGCCTTCTGAAATGAGAAGCCCATTTCATTTAATCGATATCTGACACTACGGTTACAGACACTCGAGACTCACTGTTCATTTATTTATTTTGATGTTGCTCGCCTCATGCTTTCAACAATTGCACGCAATTTTCTATCGTCTTTTCTACTTGTTGCACGAGGACGACCACTTTTCTTACAAATAGATACACTGCCTGTTTCATTATACTTCTTTTTTATATCACTTATTGTACTCTGATTACATCCTATAATTTTTGCGATTTTTCTGTGACTATTACCTTGCTTGAGAAATCTGATTACTCTTAACTTTAAATCGTTTGAATACAACTTACACGACGGCATATTGCACACGTCCGTCTTTACTTATTCACTGACTGAAATGTTTTGTATTTCAGATGCCTCAGTGGTAAAAATGTATGTTTACATTTTCACAGGCACGAGTCGTGTTTATGCTTGCTTCCTCCGCTTGAGACATTCATAGAGCTGGTTACTTGAGTCATGATCGGAAACTTTTTTCCACATAACATATTGTTTTCTCTCTGGTTTCTATTCAATAATAAATGAAAAATTGAGTTAATTTGTATTTATTTATTTTATTTAGATCCCACCTACGTTCTCCATTCGTCTTACCTGCATAAAAGAACATTTTGTAACTCTAAAACGCGAATACTCTTTATAAATTTTGTATAAACTTTTTGCCAGGGGGGTTGTAAATCGTTTCATTAGTTCCGAACAACGTGAATAATCCCTGTTAAAACTTGTCTCGCATCATTTTAGGTTTTTATTCTCAAAGAAGGAATTTACATAGTTAATCGTTCCATCATATTAACTTCTTACCATTGCGTCAATTTTATATCAAAGGACAGATTAAGCTGTAGAAATGTGAGGAACACACACACACACACAGATGAGGATTAATTATGTTTCTCTCTCATTCCTTTCTCGCCGGTTCATAAGACTTTGATGTACGATCTAGATTTTTAGGACAAATGTTTCCAATATCATGTCAAATTCTCGTCGGTGTCGTACACAATTTTAAGAAAAAGTTATGCTTCTTGCTGAAAGGCTTACACTATGGAAAAGCAACGTCTATGATATAGTTCCGGACACGATACTTTGAAGTCGTAAAATCGGCCGGGCCGTTAAGTAGACATGTCGGGTAACGAAACAATGGACATTTACGAAGAAATCTTGCACGCAAATTAAATTCAAATCAAAGGCCATTGTCCCGACTACCGCAACATGATTACTTGGCTGATTTTACGAACACAAAATATCCTACTGGAGACTATACTACTATATTTCTGTCTATCAAACGGTCCGATTTAATAACAAAACATTATTGTATGCTTGAAAGCTTGATAAAGTAACAATTAATAGCATCTAGATGATGAAATCGCGACGGAACACAATGAGCTTCAGTTTATGGAGCTTCCTGTTAATTAAAAGCGAGATGTTGAACCCCATAAGGATAATGTAAATGCTTCTGAGTCGCAAGGTTAAACAGAAGTGGGGCTTTTCGAGACGTTCTAAAGCCCGTTTAGATATATCTCTCACCGCATGCCACCACTTATTTTTCGCTATTTTCAACGCGTAATGGGCGATACTCGAGCGTACGCAAGCACGACGATTCACGGTTTAAATTCCGTCGATAGTGCCTATCCCAATTAAGCGTGTTGAGACCAGTCTAGTGGTGCTCGAGATGTACGCGGTTGTCGAGATTGCATTGAGAAAAATCGATAAGGCACAGCTTTTTGATGCAGGTGCTCTGCCGTTAATCATTCATCTTCACGGATGATCACTCGAACTAGTAGGACAATCCCGGGGCCCGTGGTAATCGTTTAATCGATGCTGCATTCTTAAATGGGGGTGTCTTTGGCTCGAGCGCGAGCGAACAATGCCGCAAACCTCTTAACTCTCCATCGCGGCGGATCGATTAAAATCTTCGTGTGTACCGGTTTCGTTCTACGCGTAGTCGCGATACCGCGGAAACAATGGCCATTACGGTCGTCGACAAATGGGCCAACGGGTCCCCGGTCCTCGTTCCCAAGACCACGATCTTCTAATGAAACTTTCGAGCGCGAAACCGACCGGGTTATAAAATGTATTTTTACACGGGAAATCTCGGTATTTAGGCCGAATAATTTTAGCACCGCGGATCAACCGCATGCACATATTGAAAATAATGAAACCGAGCGTTGCAGAAACACGTGCTGCGCCTAGCAGAGTATTTGGAACACTAACCGTGCGAGATAAGCAGCAGCTCCAGAAAAAAATCTTCTTTCGTTATTCATCGTTTCTGCAAACTTGTTTTCACACGTAAATTAGAAACATTCTTTCGCCGTTGTTTATTATAACGCAAAATCGAGAGTGGACAATTTCTTTAAATACTTTTCCAGCGTTTACAATTTCGTACGTCTGATTAAAATTGGTCCACTTGAAGCGAAAATGGGTGAAAACTGTGGTAGAATCTTCTGAGCTGGCGAATTCCCTCTAAGCTTCTTCTTAAGTAACAATTTTCGCATAAGCCTTTTAAATTTGAAAGGGGTTTTCTTAATTCTTTGCCTCACTTCATATCTTCTATGAAACCACTTAAATAGCGGAATTGCGAATACCGTTTTAAGAAGTCCAAGCAATTATAAGTAAAGTGAGATTTTCATGGAACAGCTATACATAGAAGTACATAACCTGACAAATTAGAGCGTAAAACAAAAGTGGATAATCTTTTAAACCGAGAATATTTTGTGCATTTTTAAAGAACGTATGAAGATGTCACATATTATCCTTGCTTTTATACATTATTTGCAAGTAACAAAATTGTTGTTTAATTGTTTAATTTGTGGTATTTATGAA